GTTATTGTCATACATAAGTTACAAATGAAAAATATAATTTAAATAAAATTGAATTCTTAGCAAAATTAAGACAAAGCTGGCAGCAGAATGAGATTGGAACTAAACTGGTAGGAGAAAATATGAGTAGGTCTATTAATTATACTGCTGCATTGAACTGAGGAGTTACATTTGTGAATTTTTCACAGTGAATTTGTGTATTTATAGAAGTAAAACTGTTTCACATTTTCTGTGATCTAGTTCAGTTCTATTGCTAAAAAAATATAAATAATATACAGGATTAGTTTAAACTGAAAGTTTAATTCCAGTGAAATTGTCATCATAGAGCTTGAACCACTGAAAGCCAGAAGCAAAAGGGATTTAGGGCTGGGAAGAGTGACATTTTGATGTATATTGTTGCTTTTCACTCTTCTGTGCATGGCAGTCCTAGTAAACTTTTAGGTGCTTGCAACTTTATGGTTAGTAATAATGATATTGTCATTTATTGTCTAATTTTGGATATTAAGACTGAGTATATAATCCCAACCAACAGTTTGCTCTGAAAATTTTGTCCCTTTCGCCTCTGTTTCCTAGGATGGTAATGTATGGTATGGTATTCTGAAGTGTAGTAGGTAATATTTTCTTGTCGGTAGGTTTCCTTTGAATAAGGCTTTGGTTTCAAAAGATGATGAAAACAAAGAGGTAACTAATGTAACACACAACGCATTGCTGTTCCTTCCCCAGTTTTCCACATTGTATGTTCTGAGCACTTGTCTTGTACTAGTTCCAACAGTTGCTGGGTCCATGTAGTGAGTGATTCAGCTCATTGATGTGTCAGAAAATTAGCTGGGGGAAAAACTTGCATAGATTTATGCTGTGTTAGTGAGCTGAACAGTCTCCCAGAAAGATGTGGCGAGAGGTGAGGCAGCCTTTGGAGGCTGTGAGTGAGCAGAAGCATGGAGAGAGATGTGAAGAGTAGGGGAGAAGAGCAAGGACTAGGACATATTTTTTTCATTTGGCAGGACAAAGCTGTCAGATGGGCTCAACTACTTTTAAAACCACAGTGTATATTTTACTGAAAACAGCTTTCTGTGTATGTGATGAGTGTGATTATTCACATAAGTCTGTCTATCTATCTATCTATCTATCTACCTATCTATCTATCTATCTATCTATCTATCTATCTATCTATCTATCTATTTTTAACCCCTAGCCTCAAGCTATTACAGGAATGGAATGATAGCTGTATTTTCCATCTTCATAATAGAATAATTTAGAACACCAAAACCAATTACTGAAATACAGAGGGGAGGGTTATGGTGCAGTGTGAGGTGGTGGTATGTGAATGATTATTAAATGAAACACTAACTCTGTAAATCTTGAAAGGTCTACAGACTTTACATTATTGTGATATGCAAATATAAGAGAAAAGTTAAAGCCGAAGTTTAACAATAAGTAGTTTTATGATTAGCTATATTCTGGAGTATGGATTACAGTCAGTTCACTGCATGTCAGGCACTCTTAAAAACAACCATTTCAGGCCAAGTGTTTGTATTTGAGTTGCCACTTCACTTTTGAATTGCAGTTGATGATGTGCAAATCCCTGGCATTTTATGTGGCCCCCGCATATGAATGCATGAAATAATACACACCATTAAGGTGGGCCCAGTCCATCTCCCACTCAAGTCAGTGGGTCACTTCCTACCGATATCTGTAGGATTGGGCATTAGCCCTGTGGTGAAAGTTTTCCATATTTTGCACTCTATTTTTCTAGTTTTTTTATACATAAAACCTACATAGATGCAGTGATATTTATGCAGCAGTTTTAGCAGATGGCTCTTGAATCATCTGTTTTCAATGAAAAATGAAAAGACCAGACACATACATAAAGGCTGAATTAATCTCTGTAATTAAATGGAACATTGCTGTGAATTATTTTAGCTTTCCGAATGTATTTCATGCTAATTTTTCAGTGAACTGTAATTGTATTAAATTTTTATATTTTTAGAAGCTTGAAAATTATCTTCACAAAGTTATTGTGAGTCAAGTTGATATATAGAAGATCTGTGTCGGACTCATAAAACTTTGTCAGGGTGAGATATATGTTTTGTTTTGATTTAGTTTGGGTTTTTTACAGCAAGTACAATACGTCAGTAAGTGATGTTGCTAGCAGGCCTATAAAATACCCAAATCATATTCCAATTGTCAGAAGACTCACATGCTAAGCTTGGCTGTCAAGTGAAAATTCAACCAGACTGGAGATTGGGATGCTTTGTAGCACTGAAAAACATGTGCATTCCCACACTGGCAAGTTGTTAAGTCAAAAGTGAAAGGTCGTTTATTATTTTGTGTCTGTAGTAAACTGACTTGCAATGCTCTCATCCTGCCAGAAAGACATACTGATGGTGAAATCCTGTGTGGAAATCAGTGGGGAAACTTCCATGCGTAATTAGCGGTAGAGGGAGTAGTCCCACTCTGAGTCTTCTGCCTTGAAGCCTGCTCTCACTGGCTGCTGGGATAGAAAACAGTTATCATGACTTACTCTAAAGCACTCTGCTTTAGTGGCAGGGGAGGAAGCCTGCAGTGATGAGTTTTCTTAATTTATTCGACAGCCTAAGGTAGGCTGACTACTTAATAATAGCTGGGGGGAGAACCCCATCACCTCTTTTCTTCCTGTACACATGGTTATTTAATATGCAAATTAGAGAAAGGAGTTAAATGAGCCTTTAAACCATAAAAAAGTTGTACACGGTGTGTTTATGGTTGAGTCATGTGCAATTACCGCACGGCTGGTTCTTGTGCATTTGTCACATTTCATTTGCTTTCCCTGTATGTATGTGCATACCTCCTGGAAGGCCAGTCTCTTAAACATACTTTTAACCTTATCAAGGGGAAAATACTGAATTCATTATCAAAGAGCAAGCCAGTTGTAGAAGAGTTATCCACTTCTTGTGCTGTATGAAGAAGGAGTCTTTGAAATGCTGTTAAATATTACCCAAGTGAACAGAAAAGAGCCAAGTAAGCAGTATGGACATTTAGAAACCTGCTCTTAATACAATGCTTTCTAACTAGTCTGTTGTGTAAATTGGGCTGTTTGCTGGGCTCCACTGAATAGGCTTGGACCTCATACAAAGCCTGTGGGAAGAATCTGCTGTGGAAGAAGAGATCCAGATGGATGTGGCAGATATTCCACAAAGACCCCAAAATATTCATGCAGTGAAGTGGGGATGGACATAGCATGGTCACAACCAAACAACTAGCACCATGGGTTTCAGGGCAGGGCCCATCTCTGCTTCTTTCAACAAAGAAGAACTGCCAGATCTAGGCTGGCTTCATAGTCCTCTGTGTTTACAGCCAGTGAGGCATGAATTTATTTGCTTTTATTTGGAAGACAGGAAGAAATGAAGAGTGTCTTTAAATGATATAACACAGCTCAAACCCAAAAATGTTCTTTTATGTGTCAAGAAAAAAAAAAGATCAATAATTTTTGATCGACACTGTACTGGCTAAATCATTAATGAAATATACTGACACAGATAATCCTTACTTTTTCTTTAAAAGACTCTCATGATTTTTCACAAGTTGTGCTATAAATTGTTTTTAGAGGGTTTGCTTTTCATCGTGGAAGTTGGGGTTTAGATTAAATCTGTTTAATCAAAATGTGAAGGGGCTCAATTAAGTAGACTTAACACAGATACTACTGTGATTCAGATAGGTACTTGGGAACACATGCAGAAGATTAGAGATTCATCAGACTCGTTTAAGCAGCTGATTTAGTCGAAAGTAAAACTGATGAGTTTTGCTCTTTGCTTTCTCAAGACTAGTTGCAACTAGGATTAAAGCACTGGAAATGGAAAAGGAAATTTTCCAGTTCCTTGCAAAGTTCAGTCAGCTCGACCTGACAACACCATCAGGAAAAAAAGAGGCACTCTTGATTATATACAGACTTGCAGATGAACTGCGCTTCCCCCCACTACCACCTTTTTATCCCCACCCCATGGACTTAAAATACCTTGAAAAACTGCTCTACCTTCTGGAAAATTGAGAAAACATTGTTGAGAGTTAATTTGGCTCATTTCATATTTCCTGTTCAGCATTTGTCTTCCATTGCTTTTTTTTTATCACTAGGGACATTTGCATGACAATGGGATCTTTCTTTCTTAAGAGATCATCTGCTGCTGCCATTAATTGCCTACCTGAAGTTGTAATCTTCTGTTTGTGACATCTTGATTATCTCAACCACAATTAATTGTGATGTCACAGATGGAGAATTATGACTTTGGGTTGGAAATGCAATTAAGAAAGTTTGATGAAGCAAAGAGGCCTTCTTGAAAAATAAAAGATGGGACAAAATAATTTTGATTAAATGAAGGCAATCCTCCATGAGCTTCCTTTTTACAGTCCTGGAACAGACATTTCTAATTCTTGCTGTCATAGGAGGCCCTCTTGTATTGAGACAGTATGGATGGGGAGATCAGAGCGAGAATTTCATTGTGCAGGAAGAGAGATCTTCCAGGGGAATTGTCCCTTGAACAGTCACTCGCTGCAGCAAGAGGGAGAGTTGGTGGACCCCAGAGAGGTTCAGGATTTGCCTGCAGAGAGCAGAATGCAGGGTTGGTATGGCTGCAGTTGGTTTAAAGACCTGCCCATTTATAGCACTTCATATCTTGCAATATTCGAGTTTAGACATCTGAGTTTGAAGACCAAATTTCCAGAAGAGCTTTTTTTAATCAGCGAGGAGAATTCCAAAGAATTCAGGAGAAATTATACTCAGCATCCTGAAAACATACAAAGTAAAAGCTTTTGTGCTACCTTTATTCCATCATGTCTTTAATTTATTCTTTGTACTTGTCGTATTCGACTTCATGGTATGTTGCCTTACCCTTTTGTATCCTGCTGCTTTTGTTCTGGAAATACGTTGTTTCCACAAAGATGCTGGGTGGCTGGTGAGGGTTAAAAAAAGCCATATGCTGAGAAATAGTTATATCTGCCAACACTTTGTTTTATTTTTAATTTTTTCAAAGGCAAAGGCAGTTATGGCAAAAGTTGGTTACCCTCAGTTTATAATGAATGAAACATATATTAATGAAGACATCAAAACAGTAAGTGTCAGACTTGCAGATTTCTTCTTTTACATATTACATCCATCTTTTACATATTGCATCCATTCTTTGCTCTGTTTCACTGCTATCTAAAATCAAAGCTTCTCTTTTGTTTGGCATGCATCTGGAGTTCTGCTTTCCTGGTTAGTTTTAGATATTGAATTAAGCATGCTAACTCTATATCTAAATTGTTGATCCCTGTCTGTCTAAGTGAGATGGCCATGAGGCCTGCTGGGAATAAAATGTGCCTGGGTGCAAAGAACCTTACTGCTATTAAGCATTTTAAAGGTTAAGCATACACAGCCATAAATTTTGCAATTACTTACATAAATGAAGCAAACCAAAAGCATTTATCTTCAAAGTAATGGTCTTCAAAAATAGTAATGCATATTTCCTTAAAATATCACAATTTATGATGCCCAGTGTAAGCTCTCCTCTCCAGGCTATGAAATTTTTTTATGGTTATTGCTTAGAACTGTAACTAGAGGTCCTAACCGATGTATAGGCCTAGTGTGCTGGCTGCTGGACAAGGATACTGTGGAGGCACTCCTTCCTGACTCACTATCTCTTCAGCCTAACTAAGGCAGGAAGGCAGATGATCAATAATAATATATTTTACCATTTTCCAAAGGGAAAAATGTGGCATGCATGTCCTCAATTTTATTTTACAGACAAAGTAGAATTACAACTTGATCCTGAACTGCTAAGATGCAAGAGTGCTAGTCATTTTAGCCAGAGAACATGAACAGACACTAGATAGAGGCATAATTTATTCAGAAAACTTTGAAGAACTAACTCTACCAACCTAGTACTTGTTCCTGGAAAGAGCAGAGTAAGATGGTGCTGTGAAGGCAGTGTAATGAGAGAGAGGATGTGACCAACTTTATCACTCATTGTGCAGATTTTTTTTTTCCCAGATAAGTAGTAATGTCTAGTGAAAAACACTTGTTAATCATGGGTGAAAATCAGAGTTTATATCTGAAAGTTCCGCATCCTTACAAGTCCCAGGATTGACTGAAACTGGTGACAAGGATATCATCTGGACTTATCATCTTCCTTTTTCTTGCATAGTTAATTGTGTGCATGTGTAAGGGTTGTTTTAGATTTGGAGGTTTATGGAAGCATGGAGTCCTCTGTCTGTATACATTTAATGTGTGAAACAGTAAGAAAGCAGTGGCAGAACTGTTGGAGAGTACAGAGTATGAAGGATTTGTAATAAAATGCAAAATGAACTGAAAAAGAGGGCTTTTTTACTTTTTTTTTTAAGTGGTTTTAAAATGCACTTTTAAAAATAAAAGTAAACCTATTTCCTTCTGGAAAAGAGGTTGTCTTAATAACAGCCATAGAAATGTGCAGTCTGCAATTCATCATTGGGCGTTTCTGATTTCCTCAGCTGCTCCCCGATCAGCAAAGAGCTTTTCCAGTGTTCCAGTCCCTCTTGTAGTTCTGTTCAGCCACTGTTTCTTAACTAAGCTCACATAATATTTTTTCCTCCTACCAACCTCCTAAACATTTTACTTCCTTTGATAATGGCTAAAAAATCAGGTGATTACGTTATTTAAAATGAAAGTCATGTTTGTTTTCTGTCAGCTTTTGTTTCCTTGGATGTGCTTTAAAAATGCCTGTGCTTTGTCTGTACAGCTGAAGTTTACAGAAAGTGACTATTTTGGCAATGTGTTGCAAACTCGCAAATATGCAGCTCAATCTGATTTCTACTGGCTGAGAAAAGAAGTTCCAAAAACAGAGTGAGTAGACAAAAGGCAAATCTACATAATCTTCTATCAATATGTTAATTCATATTATCTGATTTATACAGTTGATGTTTTAATAGAATTATATACTCTGCAACATATTAGGATACTAAAGGCCTACAGGGAACCCCCCAGTAATTCTGAAACTCATGTGGATAGTTTTTTTCGTTAATTTCTAGGTATGCCTGTTCTGATGCACAGCAGTCAGATACTTGCAGCTTAATTTAATGAAAAAAGGGGTAATTGAATCTCAATTAAAAATGGATTATGTCTCTTGGTCACAGTTAAAATTTGGAATGGTACAGCAGGGATTATGAAAGAAATTTTCTAAGAATGGAAAAATGAGTAAGAGATAATGTTATTATTGGTAATAATAGCCAGCATTGTTAGTTACCTGCTGATGATAGCAATGATATGTAATAAAACATAATACAATTTATATATGTTTTTATTTATTTGTAAACATCAGGGTGCAGATTGTGTCACATACTGTCATAAAATACATGAGAGAATCAATCTCTTTCCTTACTGGTGGGTAATCAAATCCTTAAAATGCAAATTAAAACCTAAACAGAACTTAATTAGTTTAATCATGCTACTTAAAAATTATTCCTTCTGAACACAGACTGAAATTGGTGCTGCTGCTCAGCTCCTCTGTGGTATTTTCTTAGGGATCCAGAAATTCTAACTCAGACTCAATCATACCTTGCTCTGGGGGTAACTGAGCTGTGAGTGAGGCAGGTAAAGGATATCAGCAAGACAGGCACAGGCTATTCCTGATTAGAATATTGTAACCTGGCCCCTTATTTTTGAGAAGTTATTTATAAGATAGTTTTAACTGCAAATTTTACTTTCTCATCACACCCTTCCCTGACACTGCAATGGTTAATCCCAGGGAATGAATTTACAGCCTTTCCTTCTGCCCTGGATGCCAGGGCTAGATTGTGACAATACATTCTCTTCTGACCAATAGTTTTCATGAAAGCAGTGAGATAATACTTGCCCTTCTATAGCAACGGTGATCAGCAACCTCTTCCCCTTGAACAGGATTGGGCCAGCACTAACACAGAGCACACAGTTTCTTGGCACAGTGGGAAATCTTTCCTGTAAGGAAATTAACTAGCAGGTAATCCCTGACTGTACTCCTCAATGGCTGTAATGGGAGAACTGTTCCATGGATATGCTTAAAAAATGAAAGTTTTAACCTGATTGCCCACTAGAAGCTTGAACACTTTGTCATGCTTGTCTTTACCATCTTATTTCAGGGACTACTTAACATCAGTCCCTTCATCAACATTATCTTGCTTTTCTTGGCATCCTGCAGGGCATACTCTGGCCTGGGGGATCCCAGCTGGATTTTTGCTGTCTTTCCTTTGTCAGCATAGCTATATGCTCTGCCTTTGCAGGGCTAGGGCTAATCCCCACCTGAGCCCTCTGTCATAATTATCCATGCTAGGAGATTATTCTACCTTTGTGCCTGTTTGGTGATAGAAAAGGGCTCTGAAAGTGATGTCACACTGTTTGCTTTTCTGTGTCTGCTGAGGGGTGTGAAGGTGATGACAGCGATTGCCATCTCCAGTCTTTTTTATTGCAGTAAACCGGTAACTCCCAACCGCTGACCTGAGGCGTCTCAAATGTGGTCTTAAAAATATCAGTACTTGCCACATTTTAACTATCGCACTCTACTGCTTTCTCATGTTTTCACTTCTCTTTTTTTCTTTCCTTTTTTTTCTCCTGCTTTTGGTTTGGTTTGGTTTTCGTTGGTTTTTTTTTTTTTTTTTTGAGCTTTTGTACTTCATAGAACTCCCAGATCTTTGGTCCACGCTGAAGCTTCCCACTGTGTTAAGACCTACCCTTGGCGTTTTGTTTGTTTGCTTCATTTCTTCTTTTCTCTAGTTCAGTAGGTTGTAGCATAGCATTTACATTTCGAGATCAATATGATAAGATTGTCCAAATTGTGAACTGGAAAAGATAAATAGGAAAATGAGTGTTTAAAGAAGTTGCCTGCTAGTAAAGTAATATTACTCCAAAAATGTAAACCGCTATATTTACTGTCCAGATTTCTCAGCAATATTATTTCAAACTGGACTCACTTTCCTCACCATAGTCAAGTAAATGGAAAATCAAAACGATGGCTCACTCAAAGCACCAAGGAAACACCACATAGGAGCTGGGAGATACAAAACAATGGAGTTTGATAAAGCAAGGAGAAATGTGAATATCGAAGTGGAAATCAGTTATTCTGGAAATTCAACAGTTTTGTAATCTAAAAAGAGGAAATTTCCCCAAAAGCAGAAGTAATGATAAAAATTCCTTGTCCTCTTTTCTGCTCCCTCTCATCCTAGCAGTTATCTGCCTTACAGGAAAAAAGAAATATGGGGGAAGTCAGGTGAGGCATTGCTCAGGGCATGGATGGGGGGACATACCCAGCCCAAGCTGGTACTAAGAAGCTGTGACAAGGCATGAGGGTGCTGAAGCTTCCTATTCTGCCAGTCCCAGGGGCCAGGGCCCCCTGTGGGCACCACAGATGCCGGAGGTACAATTTGCTGGCCTCAATTCCTGATTTGGATGCCAGCTGTGATCCTAACAGCTGGCTGGGGAAATGGTTGTCATCTTCACAGCTGGCTCTGTCAAACAAGAGAAGTGCTCAGGTATCAGGAGAGAAGCATACAAAAGGGATTTGTGGCAGGAGCTGGGGAATACGATGCATATTCCTCAGGTTGAATTGAAGGAGCTGAATGGAGAAAGTGAAGCTGGAAGAGGGGAGCATGGGAGGAAGTGGACCAGGTATGAAGGCGTTTATAACCCAGGTGAGACACAGTTAGAGCAGAGGGAGGTGAAAGGCAATGTGTGGGGAAGTGGTGGCCATGTGGAAGGGAGAGATAAAGGAAAATCAGGGGTTGAGTGGTGTTTGCTTATCCATCAGTGGAGCTGTATACATGCATACATACAAACATACATACATGTGTATGTATATACAAGCACAGATCCATACCTTTTTAACAGAGATTTGATCTGTCCTTAATGCTGACATAATAGTTAGTGACAGATAGATAGCAAGGCATCAGAGGACTTCTTGGGCATATCATTTCATTATTATTAATCACTCTCCTTTGAAATCAGGACATCTACCTTAAAGTTTTCTAGACCTGGCCAAATCTTTCTTCACTTTTGACTCAGCTTTCAGTGCTGGAGATGTTGGTATCTAGTAACCCTGTAAGAGGACACAGCAGAAGCATACTATGAGAAGATTCCTGGGAGCCCTTCAGGACCTATTCCTGTTTCTTGACCACACATTAATGTTTGTAAGCCCTCGCTCTTGGTTCTCCACAGGGGAGGGCAGCTCTGAGAAGTGCTGGGTTGGATGCCATTAGGGACAGTATAAAAACTCCTTCTGCATAAAGGGAAAAGAAGCCATGAAAGACACTGGGCAGGCTGTTGTCTGCTGAAGAGATGCTGTTGGTGAGCTCAGAAATCCTGTGGGTGGACCTGCCCTGGAGAGGAAAGAAGGGAAAGAAGCCTCCTGGAACCGTTTCTTGGTCTTTGAATCTCATTTTAAGCAGTGGTGTGGCACTGTGCCCAGCCTTACTATCCCAGTTTCATGCCCAGTCCCAGGGGAGACTGATGGCAGCCTGGCTTAGGTGGCTAATCCTCTCTGAGTCTACACAGAAAAATGTATAAAGCAGTCTAACAATAGGAAGATTAAATACATTTTTGAAAGTTACCTTGAAGATTGCCCTTTAGAAGTTTTTCTTTATAATTCTTTCTTCAGAAGCAATTTTCCAGATTCCAGCCTCATTAACAACTTTGTACAGCCTTTCACTCCTAACCAGGTTAGATGGTTTGCATTCACAAGTTCTTTTTCTTTACTTATATGAACTAAAAAAAAAAAAAAAATCTTACTTGGGACATTGAACACAAAATCCTGCTCCACTTGAGAGATTTCTTCTAATTAAAATGGTTGACAGAAAAAAATTGAAAATTCAGTTTGTGCTTTACAGACAAATTAACAAGCTTTTCCCTGTACAGTAAAAATTTCCAGCCACCTCTCTTCACCCTTGGCAATGTAGTACGCTATACTCTTAACTTGGAAAGGAAGATATCACAGAGAAAAGTGTAGCCTAAATGAACATAAACCTAATAGAGCATCTGCCCCACTTGCTATCTCAGTGCAGGTTTCAGATTTCAATTCTACAGGAAAAATTTCAAACTTACAAGTGTCAAGTCTACAGATTAGGTTTCCTCTGATGCAGTAGGCAATAGGTAAGGTTATGGGACATCATTCAGAGCTGTCCTTTTTCACATGTTAATAGCAAATGAAAACAGTGTAAACAATTCTAGATGTTTTTGTATTTCGTTTAAAAAGTTTAGAGGTTAAATAGGTGAAGAGGTTAACATCTGTTATACCTGGTTTTTTTTTCTATCCTTCTGCTAATAGATCAAATGAAATTGTAACCAGACCCAGAGCACATGCCCAGGCAACCTGACTCCAAATAGGAATGGGAGAACTATCTCTAAATTTGCTTCACCTTAAAATTTAACAGTGACATCTATTTATTACAGACCTTCATATAGTAATTCAGTGTGTTATTAGTTAAGGTCTGTCACTGAAGGTTCAAACAATTCAAGAAGCTCATCGAAAGAGGATGACAGATGAGAGGTGAAGCTGTTCTGCTAATCTGAATGGAAGCAGTCTTGGTTATTTCTGTTTTTTTTTGTGTAAAATGCTCCCTAAATCTTTTTGAGGGTGGCTCAGAATGGTACAACAAAATGCTGGAGTGAAAATATGCTCCTTGCTGAGTGTCTAAACATCAAATATGAAATTCAGCAGTCTACTCTGCTTGTCACTGGAGAAATCATATTCTTCCCAACTCCTTGTCTCAGCTGCTAAGTCTTCTCTTTCTAGCTGCTTAAAAACATAACAAACTTTATACAAGGTAATTCTTGAGGCCTCATTATGAAAGAGTAATTTGGAAAGAACTTAGTACAGTTTTATAGTGAGAAAATGGAGGCTGATATCAGTCTTCGGCTCATATTAAGTTCAGGAAACAGGATGGGCTCTGTTATTGTAGTGGTAGATCATAAAGAAAGAAGCATTCTCAGGATGGGAATGTTGCGATGAGTCTTAGCTGCTAGCATGTCAGTTACAAGTCTATGAGTTCACAGATATGAAAGCCTGGTGTGATGTCTTCCCTTAGTAGCTGCAGACTAAATGGCAACAGCCTTTGTAGTTGTTCTCCAGTAGAGTGAGGTGCATCTCTGCTGGCAAGTATGTTAATCACTGGTTAGCTCCTCAATAAAAACGGGTGCAAACTTGTTCTATTACAGGGGTGTTGTATGTCAATTAAGAGCTCTTTAACCAGTGCTTGTGGGGGTTCCTATCTTGAACTACCTGTGGTGAGCCCCTGGGGCTGGAGCAGCTAGGAGGGTGGGGAGAAGAGCAAAGCACATTAGTCTGTTTTGAAGTATTTGTTATCCATCTTAGACTGTTGATCCTATGACTGGAAATGAGAGGCCCTGTAAGATACTTGTTCTGAGAAGGATTTGTAAAAACGGAGGATTTGTTGCCCTGGAAGTCTTTCTCATGCTTAAAACTTGCTGTTTGAGAGCACAGAAAAGCTGTTTTAAGTAGAACAAGCCAGCAGGGTGAGGTAGAAGTCACAGCACTATGTGTCTTTGTTCAAACTTACAGTAAAATCTAAATTAAAGTGTTGAGTGTGTCAGATGCGTTCTTTCCTCATGAAAAAAGGGATAGAGTCCTCCAGAGCCACTGCTAATCCTGGAGAGCAGGTCCCACCACACAGGTGGCTGGCTTCCATCCTTCAAAACAGTACAGCTGATTGCTGATGTGAACAAACTTGGCATTGATACATAGCTAATTAAGCCCCCTAATTTTTACTTTATCCCCTCATCATAAGCATTCTTTCTTCAGTTTCCCATTAACTCACTACATTACCTCTAACATTTAATCTCGTTATTATAGAGGAAACGGAAAACAACCTCCCCCTGCTCCTCCCCTTCAGAATCTCCTAGTAAAAAACCCAGGGAGAGTGATACGTGGCAATTAGAGCCTATAATGCAATGGATGGTTAAGATACTTACATGATATCACTCTTTGCTTTCATTGGTTAGTTTTTCTTGTTGCTGCACTATAAAATAAGCCACTCAGCTTTGAAGATTGGAGAAATAGACAAATTTATTGATAAAAGACAGAATGCTGCCATACTAAAACTCTCCCCTTTTCTTTTCTGTTTATGTGAGAACATCAGTTGTCAGAAAACCAGTCAGGATCTGCAGATAACTCATTCATTTGATGGTACTATTTTGAAGCACAGATCGTGTATGCCACTGTCACTGACATCACACTTCCTGTGTTCTGATAGACCTTCCTTTGTCTTACTCTTTGTTTTGAGCTCCTATTTCTTATCTTTGAAAGAAATTTTCCAAATCAATTGCATTCCATTCATTTGACTTTACAAAACTTCCAAGTAATGCATTGCTAAAGACATCAGGATCTTCTGTTTGGACATTTACTAGAGCTGTTTCTAATTTATTATGAATTAACCCCTAATTCTCATGATTTTACTACTTTTATCTCAGTTCTTCCTTATAAGATCAGAGTGGAATCTTGGACTCAACTCAGAGTTTCATCTGAGGGGATCTGGATCTTGCTGAAGGCACCTGAGATTTTCCACGCATATGGGTGAAGCCATTATCAGTGTAGATGAGGTTAAACTAAGCAGATTCATAAATCCTATTTGCTATTCAAACCTAGGTTTCCCTCCAGTATGCACAAGAAATCTAACTATGAGAAGAAATCCTAATATTCTTTTAAAATTTGATTTGCCTTGCAAGAGGTCCGTGTGTTTATAAGCATGCTGATGGCCATTTTCATTGAGTAGGGCACAGAATCTGTTTATTTTGAATTTAGGTTCCCAGAAAGCACCTGCCCATGTTTCTGGCATCATCCTAATTATTCAAGTTGTTGTTCAGCAAAGCGCCTGAAGCCACTTCGCTTGTTTCAAAATTCTCTAATTTCAAGAGGGAGTTTCTCCACACATGGTTGAAAGGCACCTAACAGAGTTTTCACAGCTGCTGTCAGTGTTGCAGCTTCTGTTGGGTGAACTTCAGCTTATCAGCCTGGCAGATCTCACAAGCAAGAGGGTAACTTAGAATTAAAAGGATTAGGTAATAGGAAACCTAACAATCACTTCTCTTGAACTTTCATTGCACTTAAAATAAATCCATTAAACAGTAGCTTTCAATGTTCCAGAAAGCATCTAGGTAACGTGTTGAAATGGAGAAATACTTTAATGTAGCTTGTCCTTGACATTTTGCTTCCTTTTCACTGAGTTCACTCTACCTTTGCTCATTCTGTTCATAAAGTTGTGTAAGTGTACTGACAGCTTATTTCTTTTGCTCTTACTACAGGTGGTTTACAAGCCCAACTACTGTAAATGCTTTTTATAGTGCATCTACCAACCAAATCAGTGAGTATCTGATTTCTGAGCTTCCTTATAAAGTGCTTGTTTAGGAGTTGTATGTGTCAAGCTCCAGATAATATCTGTACAGTTTTGTGTGTTTGTGACTGAAAATAAGTGAGAAGGTAGTTCTGGAAATCCCAGGGTTCCCACAGATTTAAATTACTGTTGCTTGACAAGTTACCACATGTCAGCTGAGTTGTAGTGGCCATTAGCTTAAATCACTTTTATTAAAGCTTAATGTTTCTGTCTTCTGTTTTCTGTAGCAAAAAGATGTGTACACATACCTCCATAAATATACAGTGATAGCTGCCTTCAGTCCTCTAGTGTTAATAAATATGTATCAGTAAGCATGACTAGAGAAGACTGTGAGACAGACCAGAAAATCCAAGAAGTGGTGGCCAGTGGGTTTGTTCAATGCTTTCAAGGACAAGAAGTGGTATCTGTAGTTAACTTAAAATTCTTACCTGTAGAGTCTGATGAAATTATCTTGCATGCACAGTAAAACCTTTCTTCTGCTAATTTTAGTTACTGGCGGGTTTTAGAGAGCATAAATCTGGATTTGGAAGCACATGAGGTGAAAGAGCTGAGTTTTTCAAAGGTGTGTGTGGATTTGGATATTCACTCCCATTTATTTTAATGGGACTTTGCATCAGAAATTTCTAAGTGGCTATTAAAGTCTACACCAGTATTTCTGTGTACAACAGCATTACCTTTACCCTGACATTCTTTGCTCTTATATAAGGCTTGCAGGTTAAATCAGCCTTCTTGCTCTGTGCTGTCAGTGTCTGGAAGGCAGCTGCCATAATCTCTGTGGTCTCAGTCCCCAAGGACAGGCGTGTCTAAAATCGTTGAGTGACTTCCCCTTTTACTTCTGCATCTCTTTTGGTTGCAGAGAGAATTACTTTTTGACAGGGACAATGTGAATATATCACACTGAACAGGTTACAGCAGAGGACTCACAATCTGGGTCTGCTGGTATCTTCTCCTACCTATTTCTGTAAACGGTTTTTGCTGTCAGACCACTCACTTAAATTCTTTCGACTCCAAGTGAGATAATTTGTAAAGTGTGTGTGACAATTAAGCAGTTCTTTTGCTTAAATCTATTTCTAGGCATAGACCTCTCTACCTTCACTAGAAGGTTCCCATCATTAAACAGCCACTTTTTTGCTGATCATCTGAGGCAGATTTCCCTGAGCTGATCACAGCTCAGAAGTACCTGTGAAGTGTGACAAGTGCTTTTTCTGCTGAACTAAGCACCAGCCACCACTGCTGCTTCAGATGTACTTTGTGAAGAGAGAGGAAGACTGGCCACTGCAAAATGAGAACCGTTGCTGTTACGTCTTCTTTAATATTGGGTCCTTTCAAGTTTCAGTAGCATTCGGCTGTCTCAGCCTCTCTGCCATGGCACATTAGAGAAAGCTGTAACAGAGGCTGGAGTGACTGAAGCTATATTTCCCACTCACTGTCTTTAACAGTGTCACAAAGCAGAGAGCTGTCAAATGTAACCTATCAGTCATGGGTGTCGAGGCAATTGTATTTTCTATCATAACTGCTGACCTTATTATACTGCTGCCATCTGACCTTGAAGTTTGGATAGTGCTGCTCACTGTCTTTAGGACTGTTCCTAAAAGGAAAAGGGTTTAGGTGGCTCTTCTGAATAAAACCCTCTCCTACCTGAGAGAACGGTACAAATGTAACCATGCCCTAAAAGCAATGTACATTAAGAGGGAAGATTTAAAGAAAGGCACAGTACAAAGTCGTCCGCTGTTGGCTGATGTGATTTGCAAGGGAAGAGGCCCCAGCGGATGTGGGAGGAACATGCTCAGGCCTGAAGTTGCTGATAAATATTCAGCACATCGCTGTTGAGTTCCCATTAATGCTGCTGGGAAAGAACTTCAGTGCAGGAAACTGAAGTTTGTGAGCCCATACATACTTGTATAGCGTGATGTATATGCCACGCAAATCTCACCCACAGCAGTTACAAGCTTACTGCTTTGCAGCTAAGCTTTCAGTAGTAATCCATACAAAGTTCTGCCAGGGCTGGTGATATGGTCTTTTTAAAGCTTAGTTAAACAACAGAAAAAAGTTCTACAATAGAGAGTAAGTTGAGAATAAGAAATAAGCATGAACAAGAAGCAATTATAAAATAAAATATAAGGTTGTGATAAAGCAAGCCCAAAAAGATTTTGAAGATCAACTTTCTAAGAACATAAGAAATAATAATAAAACCTTATTTTCAAACACACTGAAAGAGGAGAGTGTCAAAAATAAGTATACGATAATTCTTTGCATTGGAAAAGTTTGTGAAGTTCTTATCCTGGAGGTTTTTCTGATGGGAAGTAAGACCCATTAATTCAAATCTAGTGTCAATAGAAGGTACTTCAGAAGAAATTCATAACTGAACTGTGACAAATATAAAGACCAGATTATATTCTCCCAGGTATTTCAAAGGAACTTAGACAAGAAATTGCCAAACATCCAGCTTTGATGTATAGCTTATCACTTACAGTGGCTTTAGCACAGGAAGAATAGGTGTGGCACGTGTTGAATGCTATTTTTCAAAAGGGAATCCAGAGGGATCTGTGTAAAAAGTCATTCTAGTGCCTATTTGAAGGAAACTGTGATCGCAACGTGAATGAATAAGAGAGAATGAATAACCATATGATACAATTTTTAGAAAAAAAATAAAGTTCTTTTTTTTTTGAAATCCAGAAAATAAATAAGTGTGCATGATGTGCTATCTTTATTCCATAGAGCACTTTCCCAATGCTATTAACTGGAAGTTATCTTGGGAAAGAAAGGTTCCTTGTTTTCAAAGTAGGAGTTATGAGGATCTGTGCTGGGGAGCAGATGATCTGAAAAAGAGGGCATTCTGTTCTGAACAAAAGAGCAGATTGATATAAACTTGTTCCAGGAGGAAAGGTCTCTCTGCTACTGATTGCTGGAGGGTAGAAAGATACACTAGTAGAAAAATTGCTTCCCAGATAGGTGCCTGATGCTCTTTCCCTACACATTTACTGGTTACTGCTGTTTTTGCTCTTGGTAAATGAGTTTAGTAAGAAGGACAATTTCAGGAACAAGAATTTGCAAATGCACAACAAAAAATGTTTCTGGAAAGCAGCTTCTACGTTAACTGGAAAATACTTGGTCCCAAAGTTGATTTTAAAAATTAAGATTGTCCAGTTTGGAAATGGAAATGTACTGTGCGATGTTACGAACATATAACCACAGCTACTCTAAACTTGATTGGTTACCGAAGGCTTTGTGAAAGAGTTTAGAGAAAAAGCAGCATCATTGCCTTGAACCACGGAGCCTGAAAAGGAACTGTCATGAGGTACCTGCAGAAGTGGAGGAGAGCTTGAAGATTCTGATCACATCTGAATTTTAGGAAGCTGCTTTTGCTTTTTGTGCTCAGAGCACAGGGAGGTTTCTCATACACTCCTGGTGGAAGAATTAGAAGCTCTTTTGCCTCTGTAGTCTGTATCACTGGACGTAGGCTTTAAACAAGAAATCACTGCAATCTCCAAACAAGTCTATGCAATCTTCATATACAGGCAAAGTGTTAGTGTTTTTAACTTGACCACTTGACTACTCCATTACTTGAAAGAAAAGGTCTTTCTTCACTAAAACTGAAATTAATGGAGAGTAGAAACTTGATAATTTAGAAAATTATTAGATTTTTGAGAATACAGCAAAACTTGCATATGAAGTAAATTGTAACAAATCTTGCTGCACTTCAGTGCAAGCAGCCATATGTTTGCTATTGCTTCATTTAGTTTTCATTACTAAACTACTGATAACTTGAATGGACAACAATTCTATTAATATCTCCAAAGCAGAAATAAGTAGATGTATCAAGATAAGATGTGCTGGAAAGAGCAGAGTTAAAAAAGTGGTACATATAGTTTATCCTATTACTATGCAAATTTACTCCTGATGTTTTCTTTACATGAGTTCTATTTATTTGTTTCCTCTTTTACCATAATACAAAGTGTCTTAGATTAACAGCCATGCATGTTTATAATGGTTGTTAATATTTTTTTTAATCCTAGTTTGGATAATTATTTTATTTTCTTTGCATTTGCTCATCAATTTCTCCCCAGATGTATGGGCACTTAAAATAAAAAAGATACATGTCACTGCCTTTAGATTCTAAAAAGGTGTCTAAGTGCACTTCCTATATTCTAAGCATACTATCTTTTTAACTATCATAAATGGAATGCAAAAGCATTTTCTGAAAGACTCTGTTTATTGTAATGCACTCAAAAGCCGTCAACAAATATGTGTTGAAAATAGATACAAGTGATGATCAAAGTATGCTAGCATACTTCTGTTGGAGAAAAGGTTTTATTTTATTACAGCACTAAAATATTGGCCCTTGAATATGTTAAGGATATAAGGGAATTGCTCATTAGACATTTGGTGTATTTAATTTTTTTCCAAGTGTAAATCTGTATGTCTCTAGAATATATCAAAAAAAGTACCATTTGTGGGTTGTGAACAGTAATGAAAACCGGATTTACAGTGAACTGAGGAAAATATAAGCAACACATTCATGAGGTATAAGCTTGAATAGATGGATAATTAACTACTGTTGATGTTATCTCCGTAAGTTTATACCCATGCTCCTTCTAAGTCATCTGTGCTTGTATTGCAGTTCTCTAGTGAAAGTCAAGAGGCCCCTTTAGAGAGCGGCTTCATTACATGTTACAGGAAGAAGATATAATCTAAACCAGAATTCTAAAATTACTTTTGAATTAGCATCCATAGAGAGAACCACAGATGAGAGCTCATATTAGCCAGTAAGTATCATCTTTATAGAAAGCAGCAAACAGATATTGATGCTGGCAGCTTGCTGATGCTGTGAGTTGCAAGGGAGAACTCTTATCTTGCCAAGAGCCAGAGAAGTGCTGGCAAACAGCACACAGTGCTGTGGCCAGGGGAGGGCAAGAGAACTGCTCATAGGGGCCCTTTCTCTTCTCTTAAGAACTAGACTAATTGGAAGGTTATTGATGAAGTAGTTTCAAGTGTGCCATTAGTTTCCAAGAGGTTAATAAACATAACAGTTTTGGACTGAACACTTTCTGAGCCCTGTTATTAAGTAAGCTTTAAATGTTCTTAAGTGAGCCTTCATTTCAATTTCTGTGTTTACTAATGACCAATATTCTCTTTTATTTAATTACAGTCATAGGTGAGATGATGCACAATCCTTACATCCTTTCTTAATTTCTTCTTCCTAAGAGCCTTATCTATAAATGTATAAAATAGGAGAACATTTTCTTTGATTTTTTTTTTTCTGTTTATTTGTGGTTTTGTGTGGGTTTTTGTTTTGGTTTTTTTGTTTGTTTGTTTTTTTGTTTTTTTTCTTCTTCTTCTAGGGAATCCAGAGAGTTTTTTCCTTCAGAAAATAAAGGTCAGAGTTTCTTGTAAAAACACGTGTTTTCACAGGTTTCCTAGTCCCTTAGCATACAGTATTCATTGGCCCCTCACAAGCCATTCTCCCATAGAGGCTGGGAAATTTGGGTTCTCACTTTTTCATAAACACAAAGAGCCTTTTGTCAGGTAGAGTATAAACTAAGCCAAGAACTGAACCAGAGGCTGCTGAGTCCTCTGCTTTAAAGACGACCACTTCTTTTTATCTGTTAATGAATTTATTTCCTACTCATCAGAAAGTTAAGCTTTGTATTCACATATAGCATGGAACAGTTACTCTGCCTTACACAATTTATATTTTCTATCCTCATTTTCCACAAAACTTGAAATTAAACGTAGGATTCAGGTCCATGTTATGACAGAGATTTTGATCCTAATCACTTACATATGGTGCTCAAAGCTGTCTGAGATGGTTTACAGCATCCATAACGTTTCCCCATTTTGGTGTATTTGAGAGAACTAGCAGGACACCCTTGCAGAGGCAGGATATGCAAAGTCAAAAGGCACTGGGAAGAGCTTCAGTTGTTCAAACAGAACTCCGTGGAACCATTTTAAACAAATGTATCCTCCCTTTCATGCTGTTTTTAGGTAACTAAACACCCTGGTTGTCTTTATGTTAATACCTTATGTGAAATCACTATCCTTTGTTTGCTGACCAGCAGTTAGTCTTCTGCTTATATCTTATCTCCTTAGAACTCTCCCTCTGAATTCATTCAATGACACTTGTAAAACAAGTTACAACTGTTGAACACATCTGAGAATTGCCAGTACAACACCAGTCAGAGTACCCTGTATATCACACAATTTAGCACAGCTGTCTTCCATATCCATTGTTTACATACTGGATTCACTAGCCTGTCAGAAGTTGCTTTAAACAAGCCAAATAGTATTGGAAATTGTAAATGCACTAACTTGGAATAAGGCTTAGTAGATCTTGTCTTTCTTAGTTAAAGATACCCTGCAATATAACTGAATAATGTAATCGAACTATAGAGTTTGAATTCATATTTAGATTTGGACTCGAAATTTCCTCATGATTTAGTGAGCCATGTCACGTGTTTTTAGTTTATTTCATCTATTCTTAGTCTGCACTGTTTCATTAAACTAACAGATGAAATGTGATTGCTTGTGTCTCCTCAGTGAAGTAACAATATTACACTGAGTCTCAGGATTTTCATCTGCAAAATGTGTATAGCAATACCATGAAGGTATTAGCTGGTAAATGCATTCATTAATGGCAGTAAAGCCCTTGTAAAATTGAACAAAACCCCCAAACTTTCAAACCTGAAATACAACCTTTATAGCACCTTGCTGAGGAGAGAGGTCAAAAATAATATAATGGATAAAATGAAGCTAGAAACCTTCAATTAAGTTAAAAGTAGTCCAGTGCAGAGTGCTGTCAGAGCTTCAAGATCAGCATAAATACAGAGCGAAATATTTGAAATGAAACAGATGTACTCCGCTGCCTGAAATGTCCCTGTGCTCCCGAGCAGTAAGGAAAGGGGAAAGTTCAGCAAAGAGTCACTGTCCAAAGGTCCTGAAACAGGGTTAGGAAAGCCAAAGCCTACCTGGAATCTTATTAGGGATATGAAGTGCAACAAGAAAAGTTTCTGTAAGTGTAGCAGCAGAAGAAGAAAATGTAGGGAAAACGTGGTCCCACAGCTGAATGGGGGCAGGAGACCTGGTGACAAATGACATGGAAAAGACCAAAGTACACAATGCCTTTATTACCTCAGTCTTTACTGGTAAGACTGGCTTTCAGGAATCCCAGGCCCTTGAGACCAGAGTGGAAATCTGGATCAAGGGGATTTCCCCCCAGTGGAGGAGAAGAAGGTTAGGGAGCATTTAAATACACTGTGCAGACACAAGACTGTTGGATCTGGCAGGGTGCACCTGAGTGCTAAAAGAGCTTGTGATGTCGTCATGAGACCATTCTTGACTATCTTTGAAAGGTTGTGGTGATTGGGAAGGTTCCTGAGAACTGAAAAAAAACAAATGTCACTCCTATCTCCTACCCAGGGAACTACAGGTTAGTCAGCCTCACATTGGTCCCTGTGTACAAGATGGAGTAAATCCTGGGAACAGTTTCCTTGACCAGCTTTTTATGATGAGATGACTAGTTTATGTTCATTTACCTTTGATTTTCATAGAATGTATAGAATAAGGCTTACATTTTATCACTTTCATACCCTGAAGCAGTCTCTTGCTGCACTGAAGTCTCACTAAGCTAATACTTCCTGAATTCTTGTGGTATTTTATATATTGCCTGTGGATCTGTCAGCATATCTCAGGGCAATCCAACAATTTCCTTCACAAGAAACACTGGGTGTTTATTCACAGACACACATGCACTTTCACATGTATGTAGCCATGGAAGAAAATTAGGTTCTTGCAGTGCAGCATCTTGTTACCATTGTGGTCCTGAGGAAGGGAGGATCTCTGTTTCGTCTCAAAGATCCTCTCTACTTCACTCTGAAACTACCACCTGGGGAAAGCTCCTCTTGCAAAACCTTCTGAAGCTAAAAAATGGTCATAAAATCTAAACCCTTGGGTCTTGTGATATACAGCTATTATTCAGCTGTATTGAACTCCCTGTCATTTTTGCTGTTTTGCAGGATTCCCAGCAGGAGAACTTCAAAAGCCTTTCTTTTGGGGAACAGAGTATCCTAGGTAAGTACTGCATCAGGGAATCTCATACAGTGGAAATGAGGAATAACAGGGATTTGAAATACATATAGACAAAGAAGAGGGCATGGAGAAGAAGGTTACTCTGCTGAAGACAACTAACAAGTGGTGCACAGGAATTTTGCGTTGTCATTTTGTAGGGAAAGCTTGGCCCCTGGGCTGTGAGTTCTTCCCTGCTGCATCCTGCTTTTACTATTGAAAAAACATACTTTGAAAAGTGCTGCTTTCTGGGATAACTTTTCTTACCCTTGGGAGCTGTCTATGTTGCTGTTGTCTTAAACTGATGACTGATTTCTCTCAGGAATTGATGATTAAATGCACCCGAGTGGATGTGTTTCAGTGCTATAGCATGCAGTTGTAGCAGTGTGCACATGGCAGGTATTAAAAGGAATTGTAAATCAGATAGCTAACACTTCCTGAACAGAAGTGAATACCCCGAGAAGCCATTTATTGTCAGTTTATTGTTCATTTTCTGCTAATACCTAAGATTAACATTGGGCTTTCATCTGTGCCTGTTGAGGTGCATGAGAATGTCTCCATGTGCATAAGTGATTGACTGAGCAGGCCCATGTGCTACTATGGCCAAAGAAGAATAATTATAGGTCACATGTATTTAATTTTGAAAAGTCACTGCTTTTATGCAGTTCAATATCTTTTAATTTCAGGCCAGGATATGACAGTGAAAAGTTTCTGACAGCAGATTCTGAAGGTTATTTTGCAGTTATATGAAGTCAGCTAATGGTGAAACATATCCTTAATAAATCTTTCTTTAAAAAAAATCAGATTTTTTAACATTTTGGGTTTGCCATCTTCCAATCCTTGTTAACAGGATATTTGGCAATATATGTAGAAAGACACATTCAGTTTAGGAACAAATGAATTTGCATTCAAAGAGAATTCTTATGAGCCAGGTGACTTTCTAAGTGGTAATTGGGGATTGAAGAAAGTCCTTTCTTGTTAAGGTGAACTTATTTTCTGCTGTACATATTGCAGACCTGTTTCTAGCCTTGCTTTCTGAAGAGATTTCTCTGTACCCTGACCTTCTGTGATAGAGATAAAATTGTGGTTCTTTCAAAGAATTACACTTTGTTCATTTCTCTTCTTTAAAGGTTACCTTAGCTTAAATTGGTTTTGCTTGAGTATGTATCAAAATGAAATTTAGTAAACAAATGTAGCTGGTTTATATCAGACAACAGATTGCTTTTTGTCCTTGAAATATTCTGGATCTGTTTTCTGACTGCTTAAAAGAAACACTACATGGCACTGGAACAGAAAAATCATCAGAAAGTCATCAGCACTTGCTGGAAAACCAATTTAGCAAATATTTAACATTTAGTGGCATTTTAGTGTCCAGTTCCAGCATAATCACTATAAAACAATTGCATCTATTTGCATAAAGGGAAGCTAAGCTATCACCTCACATCTCAGTACATGAAACAAAACATCATTCAAATTCATAGTTAGGAGTCTTCAGTGTCAGACATATTGAAATAGACTTCAAACTACCTGAGCTGGTAGCTTTCTTACAGTCCTCTTGAGCTTCCCCAGACCCCGAAAGTTCAGCTTTTATATGGTACTTGTCAGGCTGCACATAATCCCATCCATCTCTGTCCAGCTGTGCCTCAGAAGTGAAGAGCATGAACAGATCTGGGAGCATTTCTAGCAAAACTGTTGCTGGACAAAATGCAACAGGGGTTCACAGAAGAAAAGACCAGAATTCATCCCAAACTTCACCCTGTCTTTTGGAGCTGGGGGAAACCCTAAGAGTGCCTGGGCACTAGCCTGTATTTTTGTCCTTGCCGCTTGTGATGACCAGGTAGCCTAGAGGAAAAATGAAATATATTTTTTATTAGGGCTTGTTGTTTTTTCTTGACCTCTTCATGTGTTTTGTGCCATTCTTTTCATACTTCTCCAGCTGCAAAAGATCCTGTATAATGACTTCAGATATAGCAAACAAGTCTTAAATACTACATTTAGTACGGGTAATTATCACTCTGTGCTACACAAGATTACAAATTTATCACACAAAAGGATGATCTTTCCTGAAATGTATAATTTTAGTAAAGGTTTGCAATAGTACTTGGGGGAAAAAACCCAGTAGTGAAGACTTTATCACATGCAAATTACTTTTCAGGAAAGAAAAATATAAAGTGAAGAATTGTCAAGGGAGAAGGGGGAATTAAATAATACTTTTTGGGCATGACTTATCATGAGTAATTAATGTGCTATGGATCATTAGGTCCAGTAATAACATGTTACTTCAAAACCCTCTGCCTTTCTCTTGTTTCTATAGAATGTGTTAGAAATACTATAACTATAAGCTACTTTGAAGTATGGCATCTTAATAACTGAAATAAATAAAATCACAAACAACATGACATATGAAAGATGCATTTTGTAGATCACTTCATCCCATGGTATCCATTGCATTTATATAAAAAAAGCCCTGAACCTTTCCCTCTTCCATCTCGATTTCTCCCAGATGTATGTTTATTTAGATATAACAAGAAAAATATAAGTAATTGTCAATCAGGAATGCAAAATACGTCTTTCTATTCTGTTTCACCAGTGCATTAGACCTGGCTATAGATCATGTCCTATTCCTCGACAGGTGCAAGGAAATTGCCTGAACTCTCTTTTTAAGACTGAAAGACCTGTTTAATGCCTTACAAACCAGCGTCAGTCACTTGCAAGTCTGTTTGTTGCAGTCGTTGATTTATTATTTTTTCATTATGATAAGAGAATAATTTCACCTGTAACTTTGTCCCATTCTTAGTTAGGATACTCACAATGCTGTAAGCTGAAGGATACATTTTGGAGCTCACATTATGCCAATAAGGGTATTGTTTAGAAGAATGTTTTTTAAAGTTTTATATTAAAGGTTGATTTCAAAGAAGTAAGAGTTTAACATTCAGGCTTTCAACAACTTTAAGTCAAAATTGTGCAGGTATGATTTTTAGACCCATTCCCCTCCTCCAGTTTAAATAAATAGTCATCTTTGCTGTCCTTTAACATTTATGAGTGTGGACACTTTCTGAGGAAACTGTTTCTTTGTGTTACAGGTCATTAAGCTACGGTGCCATAGGAGTAATTGTTGGCCATGAGTTCACTCATGGATTTGATAGCAACGGTGAGTATTTTATTTTATCTTATTTTTGTTAACAGTGCTGAATTGTGTAAAAAAAAAGAATGAAATTATAAAGTTGTATCTTTAAATTTATTTGCAATATCTTGCTTGTCTGAATGGAGGGTTTTTTGGTAAGTTGTGCCAGAAGTTTGATGCTTATCTTGAATGGAAACTAAGAGACTCAGAAAGTCCTGGCTGGGGAGAGTGGGAAGGGTAAAGAGATAACTTCCGATTGATGAAAATGACTTCCAAGAAACTTTTTCATTTAAGTTTTGACTGTTTCCAAGAGATGATTATGTACCAGTATTAAAATACAACACTGGAACAAAAGTGGAACAGAAAACCTGTTACAAAATATATATATATATAATTGAGAAAAAAGAAATAGTCTAAAAATGTCAGACCAACTGCCCTGAAAAACTGGGTGGAGCAGGGCATTACCACCATCTAACTTTGGCTATCACAATAAAGTTCTTTTTAAAATCAGGCTCCTGAGAGAGAAGGTGGGGAGGAGAGATAGAAGCACAAACCTCCTCCTCCTCCAGGGAGCAGTTCCGAGTGGCTGACATTCCACTGTAACTCATTGTCAAGAGAAACCTCTTACCACTGAAAACACAGGGAGTTTAAGGAAAAGAAGGTTCTGCCTCACTGCCTAACTAGTGAGCTAAGTTGCTTATGTTTCATCACATTGAATACCTTTTAAACAATAAAAGGGAAAACTTGTATCCTGTTGGCGCTGCTATGCAATGTTTTGTGTCAGCAAACACACTAGAATGGAGAAATATTTCTTCCAAACTCGAGTCTCATTTGCAGATTATCTAATCTCCATCATGTCTCCAGCCTGTCAGAAAGGAGCATAAGATTTGACACCCTAAGCAGACTACTGCCTCTTGCCCAGGCTCTTACCTTCTGAATATAGAAATAAAATACATCTGTAAGGATTTTGTCGTCTTGAACAAGAGAACTAATAGGGAAAAAATAAGGAAAGAAAAAAATTAAAGAAAGCATCTTCAGTACTTGGTATCATGTCTACTGGTTTCTCCCTACCTCCCTTTCCTGCAGTCGTAACGAAGACTCAAATCATAGAGCAAGTCTGTGTCCACACAGACAGCTAAACCTGCTCTGAAAAAGAAGTCCTAACATATCTTGTGTCTTGTGTCTGACTGCTGGAGACATGATGGAGATTACTCTCCTACAAATGCGATAGATAGAGCAGAGACCTGAGTCCCCATTTTCCATGAGCCATTGCTGTAACCATCAGCCTAGGGAATTGGATGTATGTATTCTCCTTGCTTCCTTGAATAGGATTCAAATGTTCTGGTTTTGCTGCAAGGCAAAAAATTGAAACTTCAGAAGTTTCCGTCAAATGGATTTTTTTTTTGTTTCTGGTCAAGCGTATAATTAATTAAGAACAAATTAGTTATCATCCGGTTTGCAGAAACAGAGACATATGGGCTGAGGATGAAAAATACTCACAATTATACTTACAAGAAAGCTCATATGCCTCTTACACTATGTAATTATAAAATATAGAACTCATTAGTCATTGCTATTTTTTTCTTTCTAAACATGGAAATTATGACAATAAATAGAACACCATCTTTTCACCACTGACTTGAGTGGGATCAAGAGTTTGTACACTGATCTTAGACATTTTGTATACACACTTGCATGAGTACATTAGCATCTAATTTCTGTACAGGTGATAGATTCCAAAACTGGAAAACTATGGGGTTTTCTCCTATAAAAACGTTTGTTTTCTTTCTTTCTTTTTTTTTTTTTAAGGTCGTAAATATGACAAAAATGGAAATTTAGACCCGTGGTGGACAACTGACTCTGAAGAAAAATTTAAAGAGAAAACAAAATGCATGATTAATCAGTACACTAATTACTACTGGAAGAGAGCTGGCTTACATGTATGTAAAATACCAGTGATTGAAAGCAATGATGCACAAGGAGTTTGGTTTTGTTGTTTTGTTTTGTTTTTTTATTTGGGTTTTTTGTTTGTTGTTTTGGGTTTTTTGTGGGGCTTTTTTTTTGTTTTTTGTTGGTTTTTTTTTTGGGGGGGTGTTAAATTATCTTTTTATAAATCCCAGTATATTGGGATATTAGTCTACCATCTTCATTTCTCACAACAAATCATTTTTTGAAATGAATAATTGTGATAAAAATTGTCTGTCAGATTTGATTAGTCCAGTCAAATACCACTAGCCACACCTTGGTGACAGGGTTAAACCACTTCTCCACATCATATCATTTTGGAATCAGAGGAGGAAGATGAAGCCACCCATCAGGGCTGGTCTAATTGCAGTGAGCATGTTAAATGTCTTCTGAAGATGAGGTCTGTAATGAAAACTGAGCAGTCACTCTTTTTAAAAAGAAGAACATAATATCATGTTTTATAGATTGCTTTAGCAATTCCGCCTGTTATTTATTACAGCTATAAAATGGATGCATAAACTCTATTTCAGATTCAACACCTGCTATTTCTTCCATGTGTGCATGCAGACCCAGTTTGTATCTCAAATGAAAGAGTATGATAGCACTAGCTCACAGAAAAAGATTGAGAAAGAAGGTGCAAAGGAATGGTTTCTGTTTCACTGTCTATCAGAGCTATGGGCTTCCCTGAAAATGTGCACATTATAGAAGTCTCTAAGATGAAGTTAAACCAGGTCAAATCCCTGACCTCAAGAAATTAATAGCTAAAGTTCCAATTCCCAGCTGGGACATGACTTTAATCTTAATTTTCAGGAAAAAACACATACCCCACCCCCTACTTAATTCTACCACTTTTACTTACATTTTAGAATCAGAAATACAATTATGTCTTTGTCTTTTAAGAATAGAGAGGACACACCGAATGCTTAGCCTTAATTTTAACACTTTCCTTAGGCTGCTTGTGTTAGTCTCGACAGTAACAAAGCCATATTGTAGCTCAGTCTAAAGTCCAACAACTCAGTCTTGAAGTACTTCATATAAGCCAATTTACAACTAAAAATTCTCAGGCTCATTCCTGAATGTCTCCAGGACAAAAACAGTTAATACAAAAATTCCATTTAAAGAAGGTCATTAAAACCTTCACCAAGGGCTCCTGCCGTTGGCTTGGCCATCCCATTTACCTTCTATGGTGTTTCTTGAGATGGGGTAGGTCTGAGTTTCCCTTCCAGTATAGCTACTGCCTTTGAACTCTGTGGATGGGCTTACTAGAGAGATCCTGTTATCCACAGCTTTATCATCTGCAAAGCTTTTTCCTCCTATTTCCATGGGATATATTAAAATACTTTTTTAGATGATAGAAGAATCTTCATATTTTCTGCCATATTTTATAGCTCCTGTATAAAGAGGTATGCATGCAAAGAGCTTTTTTATTTATTAATTTATTTTTGTCTGTCATTTACATCAATTTTCTACAGGTATTTTACCCCTGTACACATATTTTTCATGGCTCAAGAAACCTATTTACTTTTCTTCTTTCTCATTGAGTTGCAATAAAAATGTCTCCAGAAAAAAAGCATAATGAAAGAAAAAGTGGATACAGAAATAGCTTCAGAGTGCAATAATCACATGAAGTCATCTGATCAAATAAAGGGTTTATCATGGTCCCTGAGCCCTTTCACAAACTGTCTGTACAGAGTAGTCTCAGATACCTGACCCAGAGCTGCCTGAGATGAGCAGAAAGACTTCTTCCACTTATTAAAATGACCTATGGCCCAAGTGCCACTGCTGGGTTACACTCATCTTATGCTCTAGATCAGTCTACTTCACAAGCCCGCTGTGGGAAAAAAATGCATAAGTAGGTAGGCCAGAAAAAAGGCAGTGTGTGCGTATTACCTGCTGTCCTAGCCCCTTTTATCCTACAAGCCTCTCTCCCACCTCCATCTCCAGCCTCCTGAGGGGAGAGAGAGCTGATAGGAAAGGGTTACACTTTTCTCTACTGCTCCCATACCTCCTCTATTACACCCTTGAGGAAGATGCCTTGAGTCCAGTCTGGGTGCTTGTCTGCTCTGACTGTTGGGGTTGTGCACATGTGCCTGGGTGTCCCCTAGATCCTTTTACTTCTTCTTCTCCATTTTCCCCTTTACTGTCCTGAAATGAAGGTGAGTACTGATGCCAACCCCTCCTATACTCATCCCTGCAACATGGGAGATCCTATCTTCAGAGCATCTGCAGGCCAGCATTGACCTTCAGAGCTCTACTCAAAACTGCTCTATTACTGTGCTTATTTGAGGCACAGTAGAAAATAAAACTGCTTACAAATACAGTTTAGTAGCACTAAGACTTTAATGGGCCAGGTGATCAGAGATAATGCTGCACTTGCAGAAATGAGGATTTCTTCACAATGATACTGCACTTGGTAATACCAGGAGACTGGCTTTTTCACAAAGTTTAGATAGCTCTGCTTCTCACGGTATATTCTTGTTGCTATTGCTCTTGCTTTTGGAATTAATACTGGGGAAAATCTCCTTTGCAGCTATTTTTAGAGCACTGAATCAATTTCAGTTCTGTCTCAGACAGTTATTTTTAATTATGCTGGTTTATGTTATGACTTAAAGGTCATTTTAGCGTGCCAATAATTTTATATAATATAGTTAGTTTTAACATCCCATGAAGAGTTATGTAGAGAAACAAATATAACCTTTTAGGTAAAAGTTTAAGAAATGGGCTAGTGGATCTCATGAGTAATCAGATAAAATCAGTCTTCAGGGGAAAATTACTGGTGCTCAGATCAAAGATCAAGGATGGATTCTTGAGTGTATTTTATCTATGACATTTTGTGCTACAGAGATCTAGGACCAGAGCCAGGATAACTCATCACAGAAAATTGTTTACTGACAAGTTTTCACATTGAAACCCAGTTTTCTTAACCAGAGATATGGTGTTGAAATTGGCTCAGGTTGTTCTTGCCTTGTTTTATTTTTTCCCCTGCTTCTTGAAGTTCATCAAGAAGGAAGTTCAGAAATGGGTCAAATGACTGATGTCCTTTCACTCTGCCAGGTGAAAGGCAAGAGGACTTTGGCAGAAAACATTGCAGATAATGGAGGTTTGCGAGAGGCTTTCAGGGTAAGTACATGAAAAATATCTGAAACATGGTATTATTTCTTAAAAAAAGGAAAAAGCTGTTTAGGCTCCATGCTGCTGAAAGGCACTTAGTATATTTTTCTTATCAGGCATACAGGAGATGGATTACAGAAAAGAGGGGAGGAGAAGAAGAGCCTTTACTGCCAGGCCTTGAGTTCACACACAACCAGCTTTTCTTTCTGAGTTATGCCCATGTGAGTAGTACAAATGTGTTTCAAATCCCCATCTATTAACCCGCACAGCTGGAAGTGCAGAGATGAGACTGCTTTGTTTCAATAATCTACACCAGTCAAATCAAGACTTTTCAGGCTATAAGCAGAGACTTGCTCTTCCAGGACTATTATTTCTTTTATCTTTTTTTGTCTTTGTCCTCTTCTATCTGCGGTGCCAGAACTGCTGAAATTGTTCTTGCTCAGTGTTGTCAGAGCAGCTTTCTTTCCTCTTGCTGCTTTCCTCCACTACAAGAGTCTCTTTGCATGTATTGACTCCTGAGCCTCTTCCTATTTTAGCTTCCCAGATTTCTGATGCTTGTAATATGCAGCAGTTTCTGAATGCTTCCACTACAGACTGCAAAACTTTGATAAGAGATGTGATTTTTTTAAAGACAAACATGTAGAACAAAGGAGAGAATCAGAAATTATTTACTTGGTTAAGAGTCAGGACAAACACCCCATATAAGAAGTGAAATTTGTGCTATAAAACTGCCCACCCGTTGAAGAAATTAATCATCAAAACTGAAGAAACATGACCTAATGCAAGCAGCACAACCAACTCTGGCTGAAAAATCGTCTCTCTGCTGAGAGTCAGTATGGCAGTGTATGTGTCTATGGCCATTTCAGTTTGACAATATTGACCAATTGAAAGACCCCAGTTAGGTCCTTTAGGCTGAGTTGACTTCCACACTGTGTCAGTTTTTCTCCAAGAAAACTTTGAAGCCATATGGAAAATCTGGGGGTCTCACAGGACCGCTGCAGGAATCATATGTCCAGTGGACCCTCTGATGGGAAGCACATGCACAGTGAGAGCAGTGTGTGCCAGTTACCCTTGAGCTCAGCTTATTTCCACAGAGCTCAAGTCACCCAGCAGACTCATTCAAACTGCCAGGGCTATCTTCAGCCAGGCAAAATTGTACTGAAGACTGCATATCTCATGGGCAGTCTGGCTTAAAGGATGTTGTCAATAAGAAACATTCAGCACAGAGCTTAGTTAAGGTGGAGACTGGTTAAATGGGAATTTTTCATGTAATGGATACAGCATAAGAGGAATTATTCAGATGTGCAAATATTCTCTCTAGCCTGTTTTGTGGTTAGTTACAATTGGGTCAAGTATTGTATCAGGAATAGTAAATTGGGTACCACTGGTATAAACTTGAAAAATGTGTAATTTCAAAAGAACTGACATTCCAACATGGAACAAATACATCAGGTAATATAGCTGCAATTCTAGACATGATAAGCACCATTATGTGTAATAGCTTTGAGACAAAGAAGGAGGCTTGGTAATTATTAAAATTATTAAGGCATAAGGTGCTGCAGCACAAGCTGAAAAGCAAGCTACCATTGAAGAGAAATTTAGAAAAAGAACTAGTAAAGTGGCTATGAGCTAATGATGGGAATGAGTGGGTGAAGAATAACAGCGGATGAAGACTGGATCCATTGCAGGATTTGAAAACCAAGAGAATATGCCAACAGAAACCTGCAAGTTAGCAAAGGTGAAACAAAACATAAGTTTGTGGTGGTTTTCTATTTTGTGCATTCTGTAAGTAATAGGCATCTTAAAAACAGTGGCCTTACATTCTGCTTTGTTATGAAGTCATCCCAGATAACATGCTTATTGCTGCTTTTTGTCTTTTATTAGGTAAGATGCAACTCGTTTAGACCAGAATCTGCAAGAGAGCAAATATATACTGGAGCTCACAGCCCTCCTGAGTTCAGGTAAGTGCAAATAATGCATTTAGTCAGTGTACATATAGAACCTGTCACTGCAGCACAAAGTGCAGATATTTAGCATGTTAAAGAGAGGTTTAAAAGCAAACACAAAATTAGCATGTGCTTTCAGGTTAGATTGAAATGGAGCTGTTTTTTTTAGGTTATCTAGTGCTATTACAATTGCTCTTCTGTAAAAATGAAGGGCTTACATGTACCTTCAAAAGCAGTTGAACCAGAACACACTCTGATCCCTGTGATATCCTGTAATCATGGCCTGAGTATCTAAAATGTCTCATCTTTATTTTTTCCCCCCCTGTGCAATTCTAGTTGTATATGTTAAGAGGGTCTTTGATTTAATCTTCCTGAATTCATTAAAAGCTTTATAATTATTACCATGAATTATATTGATAATGCAAGCAAAACATGCCCTGTAAATTCAGTTAGAGATTAAACTCTTCAACTGGTCTTCAATATACACTTTGCTTGCAGGAGCTGTGATAGTCCTGCCATAACGAAGTGTCTGTGTCTTTGTCCAAAAGGCCTCCCACAGGCTACTCGGCCACAGATATCCATGAACCCCAAGATGGAGAGGCTGGAAAAGAGGGAAGGTTTAAAGACTACATAAGAATTAGGAAGCCAATGTTTGTTTCTCCACTTCTCCACAGAGTTTGTGTAACCAAGAGCTAGTTGTTTCTGTTGAGTTTCTTATTGGTTGCATTTGCTTAATTGTGTGTTCATCCTCAGTTAAGTGCTACATTACCACTGTATTTGGAGGAAGGATGTTAACTCCCAAGCTGATTCATAGTGGAGGTATCTCTAATACACTGGATCAGTTGCCTTCTGGAAATTCCTGCTGCTTTCTGTTGACTAAAGAGGGAGCTGGGATTCCACCTTCTCCATGGGTTACTTTAGGTGATAAAAGCCCTCTTTGCCTCAGCTCTCTCTTGGTAAACTAGAAATAGCAACAGTGCCTTCACAGGGCAGCTGTGGAGTTGCTTCACAGGCACTCTGAAATATTCCCTGGACACAGCCGTATCAAAGCTGAAGATATAAAATTGGCATGCATAACATGCCTTAGGCTACTTATAACCAGAATGAGTTAAGGAATAATGAAACTGGAAACATGATGACACAAAAAAGTTTAATATAAACTAACACTGCAGATGTGTATGCTCAGTCTTGGTAGACTTGTAAACTCTGCATTGAAACCTGCACTGCTGTGCCTTTGCAATATCTTTGCAATATCTGTAGCGAGGGTAAATGTAGCACAGTGTGCAAATGTGCATGCCTTTTAACAATTGAAAGTACACCATGACAATGAGGACAGAAGTCTCAGGCTGATCTCCAGCCTACAGATTGGTATATTTTCAATGGTTCCTACCTTTGGCAAGATTTTGGTAAAATAACCGTCTCTTGCCTTTTAAAGTCCTCAGATCTATTTACCTATACACATGATTATATATTATGAATCATTATATAGCTACATTCCCATGAGATGGAGCAAATCCCAAAATATACAGGGAAGCCTGGGGAGAGAGCATTCATGGGGAAAGCTTATGAAGGAATCAGGCTAAGAAAGAAAATTCCATAGAAAATTAGATTAATTTGGGGTCTAGAAAATACAGACAAAACTTTTTCTTAGTTTTTATATAAGAGACTCAGTACAGGCTTCTGTTTCAGACATGAAGAGAAAATGTGATACTTGTCTGTTCTTGCAAATCATATCAACTGGGCTAACAAATCATATTATCTGTTTCCCTCAGCTTTATATTCTAAGACCATTATGAGCGTCACAGCTGTACAGCTAGTTTCAACATAGATAGCTCCTGCTATCCAAAAAACCCAAACAATCCTTTTTAAAGTAATTATAAAAAGTAACTATAAAAGCCGTAAGAGATGAGCAACACATATCCTGAGCATAGGCCTGTGCATCTGAGCTAGTCACTCCAGGTTTTCACAGCCAAAAAAGAAGAAAAGGCATTGTGGAAATATATTGATATCTATCATCTTTCTGTAAGTAATAAGTTTAGATTACTTAGACTTTGCAAGTACATTTTTTTTTTTGACCACCAAGGGAGCTCAGGTTGACCCATGCAGGGGAAGGTGTCTCTACTGTAGTTCAATGGGATGAAATCCAGACAACCCACTCTGACTCCACAGTTAATCTCTGACAGTATCAAACCATGGGTAGAAAAGTCATGTGCGTGGGCATGTTATAATCTTTCTCTGACTATATTCTAATATTTTCAGTATTAACGTGTGCCTTCACTGTAGTTGAATGCCAGTTTCAGAGCAAAATCCCTGGCATGGCAGGCAGAACTCCCACCAACTTCAGCGGCAGCTCTACATGACCAACTCTTGGTGTTCCAGTCCCTGAATATGTATTTGCAATGTTGTTATAATAAAACCGTATATCTTCTTTCTTTGTAATTCTACCTAAAAAACTGACCTTTAGACATTTTTTGTGCCAGCTGACTGCAAATTTTCTTACTCACATAAAGTCTATCAATATAGTAAGAATGTTTGCTACCATGCTGAGCTACACTGAGAAGCTGATTGTCTGCAATGGAGAAGTTGATTGTCTGCAATGGAGAAAAATGCCTTCCCACTGCATAGCAAAGGGGGTGAAAAAACATACAATTAATGTCTTCTTTGCTTTTAACTCAGAATGCTGTTTACTGTAACATATTTCAGGTTAGTAAATTCAAAGTTATTTAAAAGCTTAGGAAAAATCAGCAAACACCAAAATCCCAAACTAGCAATGGTAAAATAGCACCTTCTGACAGCATCAAATAATATAGACATGAAAGCAGGAGCCAAGGATGACTGAATACAAAGAGCAAGCTCTTCCTCTATGCCTGAAAGTGCCAGTCTCGGGTGCAGACACATTGTCTAGCTTGCATGAGGCAGTGATGTGCTGCTCTTTCAGTAACACACCATCTGTGGTGCAAGCAATAGATCTTGAGAGCTGGTCAGGGCAGAAGCCTCAGAAAATGTATTTCCAAAATGTCAGAGGAGTTGAGATGCTCACAAGGTAAGGCTGAGCTAGCCAACAAGAGAGGCTCTGTCTGCTCCCCTTTGCCCCCAACTTCAGGCTGCAAAGTCCCAGGGAGCCAGCGTGTGTGTGTGTGCACAGATGGACAGAGGATGTTGTTACAAGAACCTGGCTGGCATGAGCCAAATCAAATCACTTCTAGCACAACCATGATGTGTCTTTACACACGCTTGCTGGACTGCAGCATTTTGGCAGGTACTAGAAGAAGAATTCCATCTTGCAAGGCTACTGCTGATCTCCCACCTCTGCTGCCAAGGGTCAGATTGCTCTAAATGGCACAGTACCCTCAAGGTGTAATTGTTTTGTCAAGTTTCTAGCAAAGTAAGATGCTTCTCAAAGCAGTGAATGGAACAATATTATCTTCACATTAACTGGGCTTGCTTCTTCTGAACTTTTTGGTTTTATTTTTTGAAAAATTATATGGAAAGCCTGAAAATTAAACTTGAAGTCAACACAGTGAAACACATACACGCCTGTGGTGTTTAACCAAAGACAGTCTGCATGTCAATCACTTCTGTCTTTTCTTTGCAGAGTTATCGGTGCCATGAGCAATTTTGAAGAGTTCCGTAAAGCTTTCAATTGCCCAATAAATACCACAATGAACCGAGGGGCAGGATCCTGCCGGCTGTGGTAGACGTCCATTCCAGGTCTTCTGTCAAGAGGGGTCTGCAATGTGAATCGCTGCACCTGAGCTCAAGCCTGCTGCTAGAGTTTCAGAATAACATTTTGCAACCTGGAGAGCTGTTACTTCAAATGCATCACCTTATCTATGCTCATTACCTGCATGGATCTAATCACTCTCTATTCAAAGCCTAGAAACACTCAAAATGGAAGAGGATAGGTTTTCTTTTTTATCCATAAAACTACTCCCACTCATCTTCAGTTGCACTGCTGTTGGTGGGTAACTGCCATTATCAATTCTAATTCCTGATTTATAGCTGGGCCAAAGGTAAATGCTAAAATCCACTTTTAATCTATTGCTCTGCAGGGGTGCTATGCAGAATGCTCCCACACAAAATTTATTCTTTCTGGATGAAGGAATTCATGAGACCTGCTATAAAGCAGCTCTGATCTACTGTGTGATACAGCATTTTCATAACTTAAACCGTCACTGCCCAGCATGCCATAAATGATGTTGCATGATGTAAAGGCACACAAGACTTTATATAAATTAGATTTAATATGTCAGATTAGTGCCTTAGGTTTTGGAACAGTTTCAAACTGAGAAAGCACCTCACGGTTTCCATCTGCTAAGACTAAACAGAAAGCATACTTGTCCGATCATAGCCTCTTCTAATTTTAGAACAGCTTATGATAAAAAACAATGTATGGTGAAAATCAGAGGCTTGCAGAGGGAATTCCCAGCACCATGATACTTAGAAACATTACAGCACTTATTCCTATTTACAGTGTGGGCAGTTTTTTCCTAAGGAATGATTTTTACCTTGTGCTGAAGGTAGCTTCACCTACATTAATTTTTAAGCCTGAAATACTATACCAGTTTTAATCTAGGAATTTCTTAGTGTCTGGGTCTTACAGAGGAATGTTAGTAGTGTGCATGTTTGTCCTCGTGTTGTAGACAGGGCAGGATGGCTTTTGATTTTAATGAAAGAATATCTGCCTGAAAAGCAGGGCCAGCAGCATTCAACTTGTCTGAATAAAAAAAGTTCCGTTCAGAAGCAGAGAACTTTTAAATAAAATATACATGCAGGCCAGTTGAGTTTTAAATTTGATTTCTAACAATATTCATTAAAAAAACCCAAACATTTTATTGCAGCAGAAGGACTTTAACACATAACTATTACTAAACAGGGAGGGAAACCAAAACCAGCCTTTTCTTCCCTATCAAAAAGATACGTATTTAACTGCTATTTATTTATACCTTGTGCATTAATTCATTTTTACATGGTAGAATTGTTTGAAATTGAGAGTTTCTTTAGACTAATTATTGCAAATCTATGTATCTTATATATATACATTTATAGATATATACAAAAAATTATAAATTCTTCTATTTGCTAAAATTTTATTCTAATAATATAGATAGCAAGTTAACAAGATAAACACTTTTTTTACAAGGATTGATTAAATATTGTCCAACTGTCAAGGTGGAGGAAGGTTCAACTGAAGCCAAGTTTTTGCATATGGGATTAGTTTCCTCTGTTTCTTTATAAAGTAGGGTGTCATCATGGAACCATAATTTATGGAAAGATATAGGCCCTCAAGCTACCCTTCAGAGAGAAGGAAGGAGACATTTCTGAACTCAAGGTACTGTTGTCACTTCTTAGTAACGAAGTATTATGTCTTACGGTACCAGGACTTTCTTTTTTCAATTTTTCCCTGAAAAAGTCAGTCTTGAGAGGAAAAGCACTTTTCCTTCCTCTAAGACAGCTCTGTTCCTGAATTCCATCGATTACACTTTGTCATTTGAATAGCCACTAGTAAATTTTTTTCCTGGAGGTACTTTTCACATAAACTTTGATGGCAGTATTTTATAGAGACTTTCCTAAAACAAGGAAATGGGTCTTGAGCAAAATGATACAATTCTCTTATTAATGGGAAAGTTCCTTAGCACTGACAGGACTTATGTTGGTTGCTTTGGATCAACAGCCCAAAGTGCAGCAGTGACAGTGTGGCCCCATTAAAGGTACTACCAATACGGTCATTGTCCTCAGAAAAGTCAGGACATCAACCCAAACACTTATCTAAACTTTCTAAACTAATGGACTATGCAAAGCCAGTTTCACAACAGTCAGCTTTAAGTTTTCTATTTTTATCTCTCAGATCAGAGATGTATTTCCAAGAATTCCTCTCTCACGACTATTTTCCAGTGAGAGAGAGTCTTTAATTTTGTGGTTTACAGGGTTGTTTCTCTGTGCTGGATAGCAATTTCTTTCGAAAATGCCTCATGTTTGCTGCCTTAAATGTCACTCTTGCTAGGCTTCTTTTATGTTCAATACCAAGGGGTTTTGAACTGTGGTATGCATATTCACAACAGCACAGCACCTCAGCAAAACTGTCTCATCCTTGCTAGGGCAGCTGCTGCAGCAGGCAGGGGTCCTGGTCCCAGGCTGGGGGAATAACCAGGGGATGGAGGGTTTGGGGGAAATGCACTATGAGGGAGGAAGAGAGGGCATGACCACATTTTGCACCCTGATTTTAGCCATTGAGAGGGGCCTACACTCTGTCAAGAAAGCCAGAAGTCCTTGCTGACTGGCACATCGGTCCCAGTTTTTGGAATCCTTGCCGTTGACTCAGGTTTTTGGTGCCTTGGGCTTCAGTCTTGCATATGTCCATGCAAAGATTCTAGCCTGCCTCATCTGCCTTCTTTTTACCTCAAAACAAACAGCCACTGATGCAATTCAAAGTTCATTTTAGAGTCAGATATTTAGGTACCATTTGAAAAGCAAAGCAGAAGGTAATTAAACACATTCTTAAAACTTGGTCACCAAAGATAGCCAAAATACAGTGATGGTTTCTGGGGGCTCTACCCATTGTCCCTGTTCTGCCTGACTCCCTGCCCTGCTTTATTTTTGTATTGTGCCTACTGGGTGTATGCTAGTAATGCCTTCCTGTGCTCCCATCAGGCTCACTTATTACACCTATGCAAACAGAGCCTTCATCATATATATTCTTCTCCCAGGGCCTTTAATTTTTTTTTACTTGCCATGATATTGAGAATTGTTTCTTCCTTTTGGCTCAGAAATCTTTTGCTCCACTGCTCAGGAGGGTAAGGATCACCTGAATGAAACATTTTTACCTGTGTAAATTTGAAGAGATATTTTCTACTGTGTAGACATAAAGGAACAAGCTCTTCTCCTGTCCCATGTCCTCTTATTTGGGTTCTGAAAATATGTAAACCTGTTATGCTATGCTACTCCATGCTATTCCATGCTATGCCTTGCCGTTCCATACATCATATGCTATGCCATGCCATGCTGTTCTGTTCCCTCTTTTTGTGACCCAACCCTGAAAATTCATAGAATCATATGCTAAAACACCACCTTGTATGTTGTATTTCTGCTGATGGCATTGTGAAGAAGCTAGCTTTACATACACAAGTAGCTCTCTGAAAAAGCAGAGGTGCTATTCACCTGTGTAAACTGCATAGGTACATAAATGGTGACCAAGCTGGGTCTGGATGCTGAAGGACCAAAAACCCCTGCTATGTTATAAAGCTCTGCCTCTTGCTCTGTGCAAGGGGACTTTAGAATTCTTTAGGTACATATGTATCATGACACTAAATGTTTGAATTATTTATAAAATAATCAGGTGGTCTTACCTATAACTTTTTATTTAGTATTATTCAACAGATTACAGGCTTAGAAGCATATTTTATAGTAATATTATATACATATCTCCAAAGAAATATTAAAAGCCCAACAAATCAAGAAGCAGAAGTCTAGCCAGTTAAAAGGTCTTTTGTGTTTATGTCTTTTAATCTGCATTTTTATTTTGCTAGTCAGTCTGACTTTTAATTTTTCTTCTTGCATAATGCAGTGATTGTTTTAAAGACAATTTTGTTAGCTAATAAAAGCCAAAGTGGTGAAGATTTTTCCTATGCTTGCAGTACAGCAAAAGCTGCTTGGCCTGTCACTGTACAGCTCTACAATGTTACCTCTGTAATATGCAGTCTTTATAAAATGTAATAAACAGCATAATGACACAGCCCCAGGTTCTCAAGGCTACTGTTACTGCCTGACAGGCTAAAAGATCCTCCTTTGTGAGAGCTGTCTAGCCATCTTGAGCCAGTTTTTCAGGCTTCAATTGCCCCCATTAATCTGCTGGAGGCAACTGAGCGTAGGGTGAGCTACTGTGGACACAGGCTGGATGCTGCGGAAATTACAGCAGGACAAGCAGCAGATGTGTTCCCACTGGAAGCTATCGGGGCATAAGAAGAGGGTGGGAGATCCACCTGCCTTTCAGACTCACTCTTCTTCTCTTGCCCCAGTCTGTTCCTGCCTTGGCCCACCCTGTGTAGCCTCACCTGCTTTTTAATTGCGTTTAAGCATTTTCCAGAAGTGTTTTCAACAGGATAACCCTAGTGCCATGCCTGAGTTTGAACTGCTGCTGCTTAGCGACGTCTCTTCCCAGCCAGCACAAAGGAGCAGTTTCTCTGCCTTCCTTGGCTGTGGTGTGACAGCATGTAGCTTACCTTGCTGATGTTCCTCACCACGTACTTCATGAGCCTGACCGAGCATTTGTTCAAGGGCTGTTTGGGCACAGGGGTGGTGCCAATGCCTTGTATATTACCAACTTGGCTCTTCCAGGCTAAGTGCCCTGTTTCTTGGTCTCTGACCAGTTTTCTGACACTGCTTGGATGCCCATAGGCAATGATGCTGCCCCACCTTAAGGCAGCACAAAGCCTGTGAGCAGTAAGGAGCAATTGTACCTGGGGGGACTTTGTCTGAAGCTGGCCTTGCCACATCCTTTGAATAATGCTCTGTGGTAGCACAGCTTCTCAAAGCCCATAAATTTGTGCTGGCAATTCTCCACAGAGCTTTTGGTTTGCAGTGGTAGGGATGCTTTTTGTTTTGGAAGCTTACATCAGTTCTGTCACTGACTTTACTGTGCAGCTTGACTAACATTTCTACAGGCAAAAGCAAAGTTTGTATAGAGGAAGATGAATGAACAAAGAAAAGGTTGGGGTTGCAGCATGAAACCAGCCTCAGCACAAGTATTTTGCTCAACTCTCATGGGGTTTGCTGCGCTTGCCCACATCTTGGAAAGATGCTTTAACAGTGGTTGTAGATCGCCCTGAGGAATTCAGGGTTTATCTTTTACAGCAAGAGCCAGCCTTCACTAATCAGACAATTTAATCCCATTTAAATGTAATATATATTTTTTAAAAAAAAAAGAAAAGGAATTAAAGATTCCTGAGGGATTCTCCAGCAGAGCACTATGTTTTATTAAATATAATGTCAAAGTTGGAAGTTACTGTGAATCACGATAATGCGTTATGTTGATTTGTGATCAAGGAAAGAGATACAATGGTATAATCCTAATCATCCATAAGCAGCACAGCTGAAACATCTTTACGTACAAGGTCAGACACATACATAGATGCATACATGGGTGTGAACTTAGGGTTTCATTTATTTATTTATTTATCATTCTTAAAAATTTAAAAATGTCTCTAACAATTGCATCACATCCACAGTTCCTAGTGTTTGAACTGGTGAAGATGTGACCTGTTTGTTCAACAAAGCTTGGGGGAGGGCCTCAACAGGAATTTTAAAACTTTTTCTACCACAAAGTTTATTTAACGGGCCAGCACTGCTGTGAGCAATGGCAGTGATGGTTGGTTTATATAAACAATACACACTTCCTTTCTGATGATGTGAGCAGCAGAGATTTCAGTACACGAATCTGAAAAACTCTGATATCACATCCTCTTACTTCAACACTAGGCGAGTATTCAGGTAAAACAATGAAAAAAGAAAATCTTATCAAATACAACAACCAGGGAAACATGAATATAAGTATATATGCCATGATATACAATTAAAAAAAGGCTCTTGTGGAAGATGCGGTTGCCAGACAGGACTGGTTCACAAACTTACCAGATCACTTCTGCTGGGAAAAAAACTTGAGAGCAGGAGACCTGTCTGCCTTTGTAGCTCACTGGTGAGTGTCTGGGTGTTAACAGCTCAGTCTTTCTGGGGAGCTCTCAGCACTGTGCCCACTCAGAGGTCACTCCATCAGCCAAGGGGCTGGAAGGGCTATGTGCCTTTTCTAGGATGTCCAAAGCCCCTGAGGAGGCTTGCCTGCAATTCTGCCACTGAATTCTAGCTTTATGCATATTTTCTGTCCTTTTCCTCCAAGCAAACATAAGCCACATGAGTCAACAAATCTCTAAAACAGAGCATTTTAAAGGAAAAAAAAAAATAAAAATGGTGCCTTTATTAGTCCATGCTGCAAAACAATGCAATGCCACTGCATCCATCTTAAAAACACCCACATATTTTGTGGAATAGGGCTGCTCTAATCAGAGACTTAACACATATGTTTTCATGTCATTCTGCTAGAATGGAGCTTCAGTCTTTTGCAGTGGACAGAGTAGAGCAACATATGGAGTGATCCCTGAATAGGACAACGAAGAGAAGTTAGAAACGCCTTTCTTCAGTGTTGTAAATCCTTGAAAGCTTTTATAAATCATTAGTGTAAGTACTGCTATAAAAGATAATATATATTATACATAGGCACAACACAGGAAGTCTGTAAGTCTGTGCTATTTAAGTGTATACAAAAATGTCAGAAATATGAACTATTTTTAAAAAGATAGAGTCTCGGGGTAGAGCTCTGACCTTGCTGACTACATCGGGTGATTAACGTCTGTGGGGCCAGGATTCTTCTTCATCTGGATAATACACATAGACATTACTGATTTAAAACTATTTGGGACACATGTATTCTTCTAGCCAGAAAAAAAATTTCTATCCTTTGGGATTTTCAAAATCTGCTCTCTCCTCAGCCATTTGCATAGGACTACCTCTGATTACACTTATCTAGCGTGTATTGCATTTTCACCTTTTTAAATACTTCAAGTTACTTTATCACTGTTTCAGAATTGCAAAGTAGGGCTTTCAACTTGACTTACCCAGATGAGGCTCTATTAACCATTGAAGTAAAAACAATATGTCCTATCAAACTAGATGTAGACTTATTTATGCCACTGAGGCATTTTTGTCTCCATGATGAGACAGAAAATTTCATGTTACTGGAGTGATGGGGGAATCCAACAGTGCCCACAGCAGGAACAGTCCCTCCTGGGTGCAGGTTGGCCAGGGATGATGCAGGTGTTCCACCAGAGAAAGTAAAAGCTGCTTGGCAAGAAGGCAGTGAGTGTTTGCCCTGTGCACCTTGGACTACATCCAACATATTTAAATGGTACCACCTAGCAAAACAAAGACATCTACTGTCTTTTTGAAAATAAAGAAGATAGGAAAACTCTAGCTACCATATTGACTGAGGGCAACAATAAAAGCACCCATGTCATGATCCAGCAATGTTACAGCCATGAGCATCTGCAGAACTGCCTCTGCCTGCAGGTTCGTCTTTCCCTTTGTTTTGAGATGACGCAAAAGGCTGTATGGGCTGATTGAGGAACAGAATCTCACACCATCAGGGGAGCAATGCAGAAGGAGGGCTTGATAAGAAACATGGGACCCCCTGTTCTGCTTGTACAGGAGTCACTAGCAGCTCCAGCACCAGTTCCTGCTTCAGCACCTCCTTGCAGTCAGGTATAACCCATTTGGTTAAACCTCTTGCTTCCTTAGGGAAGCCTGCCTATGAAAAAAACAAATTAAATGGGAAGGAGGAAGAGGCTTTGCGCACAGAGATCTGTCTTAGCAGTTGGGCACATCTTGGTTCACACAACCATTGGTGCAAGGACTGGCACAAGAAGGGGTGTGCCACCTAACCAAGTACCAGGGTTCATCAGTTTTCCCATATTTCCCGTATAATTCCCTATATTTCACAGCAGGTTGCCAAGCCTGTGTGGGCGTGTTGTCACTGCTGGAGCTAGGCCCTGCCAACAGGGATTGGGTGTGCAGGGTACATATATGTAATATGCATAGGTGCAGCATGAGGATGGGCAGTGCACATGTGCAGTGCTCATATGGGCAGTGTGCACGTGCAGTGCACATACACAGTGTGCCTCCAGTCTGCCCACCACCTTTCCCTTATTCCTTCTCCCTCCTGCAACTAGGTGAAACAAGATCAAGCAGGAGTGGTAAGGAAGCAGTGTGGCCCTTTTCCAAGCCATTCCAGCTGGACTAATTCACTGGAAGGCTCATCTTGCAGCAATAGCATGTAGCAGCCCCACCTGGTCCCAGGCTGAGACAGTGGAAAGGTGTCAGGTCATTTTAGAGACAATATAAGAACATTTCTCCTCCTAGCCTGGTCATGGTATGGCTCCAGCTAATAATTATTATTTTTGTTCTTCAGCATGTGATAAAAGAGCAAAATA